AGATCCTATCAGCATGTATCGTTTAGAATGCAGGTGTGGTCTTATGGGTGTACAAGAGCCAGTCGACGCTGGTCAGCACAGACTTCTTGGAGTACAACGAGACGTAAGGATCGCATGTGTAGTACTCCGTGTACATGTAGTACATGTAGGCACTATTGGGCTCATACTTCCCTCTATCCATTAACAAACGTATAAAAAACGCACCAAAGCTTCATCTATTAAGATACGAAGTAGATATTCATGTAGATACCAAAATTTCTCATGTTTCCTAGCCACCAGCCCAATGTACATACAATTAGTACTTATGCAATGATCCTCATAAGGTATCACTCGTATTAAGATCCGCTTTGTAGTTCGCTGCGAAAATTACTAAGTTTCAATCATGTATTTGCCGGAATAATCACGCATAGAAAACGTACATGTATATATACGCTTTAGAGCCACTTCACTACTTGAATTAATCGTATATTTAGAGGATTTATCTTTGATCATGATAGATCTACAAGTGCCTCTCCTTCGAAACAAATGAGAGCCCTGACCCTACAAAAGAAAGCCTCACCCTGGTAATAAGAGTGGGCACTAGCTGAAGTCAAGTTTACAGGATTTTTGCCTTCATAATTTGCAACACCAAAAAGTACACCAAATCAACATGTATCCGTTGGACGCTTCATAGGCTCAGGAATAAGGTTTTGGCCATCCTAAAGCGGAAATCTTAGTCATCCAACAGCTCGAGGTCCGAGCGCCAGAGGTACAACACCTTGGACCCTTTCAACTCGAGGCTTCTTCATCAACCACTTTGAACAGGAACAATGCCTCCTTCTAACTTCGTCACCACAGGCCAATACCGTAATTTAAGAGCGTGTATGGTTTGTTCGATTGTTCAAACTCAGCAGGTACGCCACGCCACTTCCCATAATCAGGCCACGTTTTCCTACCGAGGTGCTGACAGCAGCTGTGCTTGTCCAGAGATTTGTCAAAGAAGGATGTCCAAACTGCGAAGACATGCTCCATTATCGTGGGCAGGCTGATTTGATTGAGGACTGCACTTCCCCTGTGTTCGAAGGACTGATCTCTATGCGAGAACCGACAAAGTCATGGGTAGCAAAGTGGCAGAGAGTCGACACGTTTGTCAAGGGCATGTACGCGGTGAAAGTCAGCGGAAATGTGAGTGGGGGAATGGGATTTTCGTTAATCATGGCGACTTTGGGGGCTTGTTGGTAGGCTCAGGACTAAAGTACAGATTTGGCTAACATCAATACCGAATACAGCTCCCAGAAGAAGTCATCCAAATGCTCGCCGATAATGATATTGAGTACCGACCGCGTGATGGCAGTGACAGTGCCAGGGAATAATTTTCACTTTTCACTTTCTCCCTTATTATGTAGTTATGCCTAATTCACCCTTTTTTTTTTAAAAAAAAAAAAAAAAAAAAAATCTTTTGAGTGTGCTATACACCAATAAAAATTATCCTGAGATTGCTTGAGAGCTAAGCTTCAATAACACTTGTCCTATTGCATTTACCCGCAATCCCCGGGTTAAAAATGGCGAATTCGATGTGATCTCACTAGTTTAGTTCTCGGTTATGTGCAACGTTCTAGAGGCAGAATTTTAGCAACTCGGATCATTGCCGCTAACGACCCGGGGGTGAATGTTTTGTACCGGCATCGTATGTATGTGGGGTCAGCTTGTTGGAGTGCAGACACAGATACCCTCTACTCTAGGCACATGCATCGTAATTCCAAAACCTGGTAAAAAAAAAAAGAATCTGTAGGAAAAAAACAAATTTCATCAGAAAAGGACAACTCAAACCCAGGTGACTGTAACACCACCAAAGTTTTGGCATACATCATCAAACTGGTGCCTGATTATATCAACTAGCTAAGAAACTAATTACATACAAACTTATACTCTAATCTGAATATACGCGATTTCAGCCTGTAGCACTCGGTTTAAGGTCACCTCCTGAGTGATATGCGAATGCTGTGTACAGTTAGTTACAAGTGGATCGGTCATCGAGGCCCAACCAAAAAGAATTCTGGACTGTGATGCATGGAAGATCACGTCTTGTGTTCCCTTATGCCTGACATGATGCTTCCTATCTTGTATTGGGAAAGCCAAGCTTTCAGCCATATGTGCGAATGTATTTCTCCGATCAATGGTGTTCAATTAGAGCTCGAGCTCCAGCCACGACCGCGGCCTAGAATCAAAAGATTGCCACTTCTTGACTCCCCTGCAGCTGGTACCTTTATTTTACCCCTTATGCCATGCGGAGGTTCTTCCGTACCACGAATCAATCAAGATACGTACCACGATAAAGTACAGTACAGTACCATGCCCATGAGAATAGGAAACGTAATTCTTTCTTGTTTTTTTGATCATTGATCACCTACACAGTGCTATTGCACTTTAAACGCATGAAGATTGAATTGATATTGCAGCTCTATACTCTATATATACAAGAATTAGAATAACTCTTGACAAAGAGAGATTCGATCTTAAAGGACCGAAATGTCTCTGACGTGAGGGAAATGATAGACACAAGATTTTCCCACTCGCGAGCACGAAAGTTCCAGCATACTCTATATTGTCCCATGTGATTTCTCGAGCCTGGCGCGGAATCTTACATCAATTATATACTGCTGTCAAATTTGCTTAGAACGGCTGTTGGTATTTCCGAAGCTAAGCAATCGACTTTCGCAGGAAGCCGAAACAATCTAAAGAAGTTATGGCCATTATTTCAGGTTGGCCGTGGCTTGATCATGAAGGACGCAAAGTAATTGACCGACAAGCAAAACCGTTTATGTACTCGAGCTCGTGATCGAGACATTATGAAACCTGAATGATAAGTCTATGAAGTAGATGGCCCACATAGTACCTTGCACAATATACAGGCATCTTAGTTTCCGTTGGGGGGTTTACAAGCTCTCACCAACTAACTAGTATACATGAGAAACAATACTCTCAGCCTTGCACTTTCCATTTAAGGGACAATTTGGGTTCGTATCTTTAAAAATTTCTAGTAGTCTCTATCGTATGTATCTACCAAATTAAGGTCATCACGAGGACCTTGGGAGACTCGAGGCCCGCGCCACTCTCACCCAATAAAACACAAGCTGCAGTTAATATAATTTTTTTATCCAGTCTCTCTTACTATCCACCCTTGCAGAAAGCTCCACTTTGAATCATGCAGGTTTCTCTCCCCTTCAAGTTTTTCCTCCTGTCGCAGTTCTTCTCCCGGACTGGAATGGCTGAAGATTTATGCATACCTCAACGTGAACATCCTTAATCCAATCTGTCATACTTCCCCGCTTTTCGGTTCGGAGTGTGAGGAACAAGATAGAAATTTGTTTTACGTGAACTAGTGGAAAAGTGTTTTTTTTTTCTCACCGTGAAACTCCTCTTTTATCATGATCTCGGCGGCACGGCCAATGATACTTTAGTGTATCCAGCAGAGCCAAAATGCATCTCACCCACACACACACCACGCACAGGGGAAGGACCATTCAGGCATCTTTGGCCGCAGTTACCTGCATCAGGCGTTATTCCGGACATAGCTATTGATGTCCTTCATCCACTAATTGTTTCTTATGCACCTCAGCAGCTAGCAGTCGACTGTCCTTGTTTTCCTTTTTTCGGTTACCGACATGCACTCCAGATTCTCGGAGATGTGTTTTTGGGTGTATGAAGCAGGGCAATTCTGTGGGAGGGGGGTGCCAGGGGGACTTTCCCACTTCCCCCCATACCCTGTCTTTCCCTGCTCAGCGGTCCCCTCGGATCTTCTGCCCATCAAAACGACTCTCTATTGGTGCGACGACGTTCCTTGCCAAGAAGCGCGGGGCCCCACTTTTTGACATTCCCGACAGCAGCCACAGCGGGCTATCGTGTCTGTGAGCAGTGCTGACGGTGACGCTTGGGAAAATTGCTAGAGACAAGGGTGCCCCTCGAGTAGAGAGAAGCGAGCACAACGCACAACCCGTATCGTTATCACGGACGTTCACTTCACCGCTCCCTTTTTCTGCTCCCAGTGGGCTTTCTACTCCCTGATATTGCTCCTTCTGTAGAGACATATAACAGCGTTGAGCATAGCTGCGATCGCCGACCCTCATTGAGCAACGTTCCCAATTACCGCATTATCCTCCGTACCACGTTGACTGCGCCCATCACAGCTTTAGTTGATATCCTCATCAGACTGGGTTGCTGAAAAGAGCTCACAAGTATTCTGTATCTGTCCGAAATAACTCTTTGCACTCTCACACCGCTGCTCCCGCCCCCTTATAATTGTTCAAATTGTCATCATCTTCTTTGCCCTATTAAAACTACCCTCTCTCCGTCCAGCGGCTCTCAAAACTACTTTCCCCGTCCCTTTCTTTCCGGTCCCCGATATCCATATCCTCAGCCTCGTCACTTCTTCTCCGTTCATATCAAATTACCTCCCCACACCCCTCCGAGCACCATCAGCACCAGGACCTTCCCCGAATCTTTCAACATCCTCCCCATATCACGCTCTCGTAGCATCTGGAGGTCAGCAGTCATGAAGATCGCGTGCCTACAGGTAAGCAAATACCAGATGGACTCCCGTTCATCCCTATAGTCATGCTATCCGCATAGCCGTTGTGATTGTTGTTTTACCATGGCAGAAACGCTTACATTGCAATTGCCCGTAGTTCAACCCCCAGTTGGGCAATATAGCTCACAACCTCAAAAGAGCGGAAACAATAATCTCTCGAGCTGACCCGGTCGACATTGACCTACTTGTTCTTCCTGAAATGGCATTCTCAGGTGCGTTTTTTTGCCCATTGCCGCAATGATCACATATTCCACCTCCCGATTTTGCCTGCACTTCACATACCTCATCTCATTTTTACCTCGATTTAAACTGGATATAATATGGTTTCACTACCATGTCCCGTCCCTTTTGTGTCGTATGATATCATTTCCCTTATCGCTGGCCCAAAACGCGATAATTCTTTTTTGGCCAAGAATCTGTCCAGCTGACAACCATGTTTTCTTCAAAAACATCAGGCTACAATTTTAAATCCACCGAAGAAATTGAGTTCCATCTGGAACCTACAGCTGCAGGTCCATCTACAGTATGGGCACGATCGATCGCCAGGCGTCTTGGGTGTTACGTGGCACTGGGCTATCCCGAATACTGCGCACATTCTCCATCGTCCCCTCAAGGTTCCATGTCTCGTTATAATTCAGCCGTCCTGGTATCACCACAAGGAAACGTGCTCGTAAATTACAGAAAACACTTTCTGTACACCACGGATGAAACCTGGGCGGAAGAAGGGAAGGAAGGTTTTTTTTCTGGGGAGATGCCCGATGGATTGGGGAAGCTTGCGATGGGAATATGTATGCTCCCTCAGCTATTCATACTTCTCGGGATATACAATTTCGTGGAGACGAGTAGGAAAAGAACATTATGCTGATATGCAATTTCTCGCAGGCATGGACCTCAACCCCCGGCGATTTGAAACGCCATTCGAGAATTACGAATTCGCGCACCATGTACTTGATAGTAAAGCAGATTTGGTACTTATGCCCATGGCTTGGCTCACCTCGCAACCGCAGTCATCTTTAGTAGATCAAGCCCAGGTTCCTGATGCCGACACCCTTGCATATTGGATTCAGCGCTTGCAACCGGTCCTCGACAAAGGCCCTCAGGGACGATCGGAGGAAACTATATTTGTTACCTGTAACCGGATAGGGGTTGAGCGCGGGGCATCATTCGCTGGGACTTCCGTAGTGGTGGGAGTCAGTAAGGGAAACATCAAGGTCTATGGTTGTCTGGGTCGAGGAACGGAAGACCTGCTTGTCTGCGAGGTTCCAGGGCCCGGAAAGAACTCACGGCGAAGATAGACAGGATATTGAGTACGGAAATACGGATAGTGGTAGCACGCCGTTAGATTTGTGGTACGAAGGAGACATGCCGCATGCATTCGGACAAATGGGAGAGAGAAGGGAGGGATGAATCATGAACTGATGCAAGAACCCGCTATTCAAAAATTGGAAATGGCGCGCGGCGGCATGGTAATGCATAAATTTGGGCATTTACGGGTAGCTGGCGGGTGGCTTGACGGCAAGCCAGCCGGGTTCAATATGGAGTACTTGGGGGTGTCATTTGTTTCCTACGGCGGCTCTTCATTTTCTTTTCTTTCGGCGGCAGCCTCCAGCATAGTTTTTGTTTGGTTTCAGTCATTTGTTACAGGCATTGGAATTTTCATCTTGTTTACCTATTTTTAGTCTGTATTCATCATTGTCTTCTTGTAAGATATAGCATCTGTTAGGGGACACGCGCGCGGGAGGTCTGGTCTTATTAGGAAAACGGAGAATAACTAAAGGATCTTCCCTGGTGGAAGTAATCTAATTAAATACTCAATTCTTACTTGTATGTACCTACACTTAACTACATGCATTCGCAGTACGGAAAAAAAAAAAGGAAAAAAAGAAAAACAGAAAATAGCGAAAAAAACAAAAAGAAAGAAAGAAAAGATCAATGTGCATTAATGTATCGCATGTAAGTACATGTAGGTACTTCCTTAATTTCAGGGCCTTGTATCTTGATGTATATATCTCCCTTTAGCTTTATATCTTGGGTCCTTCTCTTTTCGGCCCATCTTTGTTCCACTTCTTCCCCGCACTGCCCCCCACTCACACATTCCCACGATTCCACCCGTTTAAGTGCACTGCACGCACAAGCACGTCATACACTAGAGTACGTACTCTAGTGAGGTCTGACGGAGGTGGCTTTTCGGAATTTAACATCAGCAATTGAGATCGCGATCAAGTGGCTGATGCTTGGACATAGAGCTCAGGGGGGAAGTGCCACTTCCCACCCCGTCTCGTCATGGTGTACGTATATACTGTTGTATGATATGTACAGATCCAAACAGACCATATCAGGTAAGAGCTTAAGATATGATATTTGTAGAAAAACGGGCCCGAGAGAAGAACGAAAAGGGAAAAGTGGAAGTACGAACACATAAACTAAGAACATAAAAAAGACAAGAGCCAAATCAGGAGAGGAAATAAGATACCCACATAAGTACAGTTACAGGTTGCCAACATCCGGGAAGTGAGAAGGGGGGCGAGCAGAGAACAAACATAAAAAAACGGACCATGTAGAGATAAACGATAGGATAGACGAGTGAACTATGTAGTTCGTTCGGCGAGGAAATCCGAGAATAAGTAAATCCCTTTATGTACCACGAATTGGGATCTGTAATCAAATCCGGTGAAATAGAGCAGCCAAAGAAAGAGAGGGTTTGTGCGAACCCAAGCAAGATAAACTTAAAGGCAAACGGAACCCATCCCGGTGAGAGAAATACGTATTTCGGTATGGGTGAATAAGAAAATAAACTCGAATCCACGAGAAATACCACCCCAGAGAGAATGCCAAACTCCCATGAGAAAGAAAAGAAAAAGTACCCAGAACCTCTGACATGTATCAACAAAATGACCGGCTCATTAATCGTCCCAGCGGACGCGCAGATACCTGATGCTGTGTAATCGTGATCAAGAAAACACCCACCTATCCTTCATCCTTGCCCCATATAAAGGAAACGAACATGAGATGACTGAGAAAGCTTCCATGACCCAAAAAACAAAAGTAGAAAGACGGAGGGAAATCATGACGTGAACTCTTGACATAAAAAGAACAATCCGGCCCGGTATTATCAATTCCAACCACGGTGGTCTCTCCTAACTACCCTTACCGGAAATAAATGCTCCGATAAAATAAAGAAAGGGAAAAAATGAAAATGAAAATGAAAATGAAAATGAAAAACAATAACAGTAAAGGAAATAATCCCACAATTTGACTCCATAAGAAATGACGTGGGGAGTGGAAAGAACAGGATAGTGGCACCAATCGTTTGTGCGGTCGTGAGTTCATGTCTTTTCGTCGCTCAGAGTTTCATGGGTATCATGTATCTGGTCATCCCTGAACTATCACAGTTCACGTCCAACGATATGATTTTCCGAGATCCTTGCTCTTTAGACAACCCATCGAGTCTAAATAACCGGATGTCATGACGAACCACCGGCCTGGGCACTGCCATCCCTTGTTACTCCAGCCTGTAAACAACTCTTTTTCCATGTCTCCGCTTCTCGCCATGCCCGCTCACATTCCTTCTGTAACTTCTCGTTGTTTGCACTGAGCTCCGAAATGGCCTGCTCAGTAAGGATCTTTTCTAGCGTCCATTTCTCAATGTTGGCAGCCTCGTTTTCTTTCAGCTGTTGAATGTATTGAACAGCGCGTTGTAAGATCGAGCCTTTGTTCTTTTCACAGCCTGGCACGATCTTGGCAAGCTCATTGATGCCCTCGTTGATGGTCTCTCGACGACGGCGCTCGACTGCGATTTCAAAGAGGAGTTATTAGCAACTTACTTATCAACCTAAATGGAGTTGCTGTAGACATACCTTCTTTGTGGTTATCCCGTCGAACCCTGTGCCATTCTTCTGTCCCAACCTGGGGTTTTGGGTTTGGATTGCCCGAGGACCCAACTGGAGGTGATCCATGGTGACTGTGGTTTCCTGGAGCGTTATGGTTCCCGCCTACACCCTCGGTGTGTCCCTCCACAGGCGGCGGAGATAAGGCTCCGAAACTGTTTTCTATCTGGCTGTGTTCTCCAGTCTTCCCACTTCCATCCACTGGAGCGAATCCCATGGATGTTGGCTGCGGGACAGTCATCTGAGGCAGCATCCCGCTCATCGCGCCAGCAGCAACCAATGCAGCATTCGCTGCATCCGCGCCGGCTGAACCATTCATTGTTGTGATGGGAGCTTGAGGATTACTTAGTGCTTGGAAACCGTAGGGACTTCCGGCGGGGCTTGCTTTCGAGTTTGTGTTTACTGGCATAAAAGAGCCTGTGTTGGTGAGGTTGGGGGAAGACTGTTTGAAGGATGCTCTGCGACCACTGCTCCCTTCACGCAACGACCTCCCATCGTCTCGCCCCTCCGAATCGTCGATCGAGTCCCGTTTCCTTTTGTGCGATGCGGACGCGTTGGAGTGTTGAGGCGAAGTAGAAGACGACACACCGGTGGCTGGATCCTGGAGATGAGACACCGGGGGGGACTGCTGTGGTTGCCGGGCGTCGGCCTGGTCTTCGTGGTAGAGATCGTGTTGCTGGTCGCCCATCGACATTCGTTACGTTTCGTTGTTGGCGCGCTTTTTTTCCCTCTTGGTGACAGACACGAAAACAAAACTCAAAACGGCTGCAAATTTTTTATGTATTGACTTCAAGTATATGTGGCTATTTTTGATTTTAAATTCGTAGAAATTCGATATTTAGGGGAGCAAGCCCTTTTTAATGATGTTGGTGATTGATTGATTTCCGGGGGTGGGGGGGGTGGCTGCTAAAAAAACCGAAGGAGGAATGGGCGCGGCGGTTTTATTCGGAAAGGCAAGAAGAGAGAGCTTTAGACGAGATAAATGTCAACACGTGATAGGGCTAGATGTGGTATGTATGTAGTAAGAGAGAGCAAAAGAGTGAGAGGTGAGAGTGAGAGAGAGTCACGGGAACGTCTGGGCAGAAAGGTGTCTGCCCCGCGACCTTGCAGTGGGGTTATGGGTGCGTGTAATGGTTTGTCCGAGACGGAGGGGGGGTGAAATGGGAAGGGTGGAAGATTGTGGATGGCTGGTGGAGGTGTGGGGGAATAAAAGGAAAAAAAAAAAAAAGACGAACGGGGGGGGGGTTTGTTGTCTGACGGGAACAAACGTTGCTCCTTTGGGGGCGGGTGAATGTATGGAAATGGGCGCGCGGGAAGGAGGCAGGGGAGGATATGAATGATGCTGGCGGCGACGGTCGAGTGCGAAAGTGGGAATATGGAAATTTATGAGAACGACGACCAAGCCTAAGAGAGGGAAGATACATGAAAAGTCCTTGTCTGGACAAGGTCCATAAGAGACAGAACTGATACAACTGATACAACTGACAGACAGTGAAAAGTAATATGGAGATCTCATTAACGTATTTGGAGCACTTATCTACTAACCTTTTTCTCCAGCTTCTCCAGCCCACAGTGACGGTCAGAGTCTATCACTCTCTTCCTCCTCTCACGCTCACTCGCGTTTCCTTGTTCAGATCACGAACTCTCTCCCCTCTCTCCCTGTCGCCCACTCAACTCACCCACTCGTGCAATTAATTAACGACAATCAACCACACTTCCCTACTTCGACTTCTCCAGTTTTTTTTTATGATTCCCCCGTGTGTGTGCTGACTCTTCCTCTCTGCTCGCGATATCCCACTGACTCTCTCACTCACTGTCGGACTTCCTCACTCTCAACCTCTCACTCGCTCGCGTTCGGGCAATATCTCTGGTAACCGAAGTATGTCAAAATGACAAAACGTGATGGTGGTGGGCACCGTGCGATTAACAAATGATTTAAAGATCAAAAAAAATAAATAAAAAAATAAAAAAGAAATGTAGAGGCAGGGCTAGGTAAAGCAAGGTGGGATGACGACCTTTCGGGGTTTCCTTCCTTTGTCTCGATCGGGGTCGAGTCGGGTTACGTCCGGACTCCAGTGTGTGGTTCAGCCTGGCTCAGAGTACCCTACGATCTATCTATTCACAAAGCGAGCGAGTCGATAGCAATGTCGATAAAATAAGCTGAGGGCAAAAAAAAAATGAAGATCGACCGGGGATGCTGGGTGGGTAGGGCGGAGGTTAAATTTCCAATGACTGGGGGGAAACAATCGTGGTCTATCAACTCCATGTATGGACGGCCATACCTAACAACAACACAACAATAAACTCTTTGAGGTTAATTCTTTCTGGTCTCTCTAATAACTCGTAACCTCTCTCTCTCCTCCCATTAATCTCATTCTCACTCTCTACCTTTCCTTGCGTAGTCTACTAGATCAACGTGGTTGGTGGGCGGTGGCTAGACCTGTTCAGCTATGTAACCCTCTCAGGGGGTAGGGTCAGGTGAGCACTTGTCGCCGGTCACCAGTCTCAGTATGTACTCAGAAATACCCAGCGTTTGCATTCCCGCAGCACAACGCCATCGCGATCCCCCAGATAGATCTTCCAGATTCAGACAATTCCAAAAAAAGAACCTAGAAAAAAGATTCAAAAAAAGCAAAAGGCCTTGTTTCTAGCAACGAACAAATACCGCCGATTCAACATGAGTACCTAGTGTGGATGTATTTACAGCAATTAGAGTACACATTTTTCATGTACCGGGTGTACATCTTCTCGTTACCATAAGCGCCTGCAAGAAGTTGCCAAACTTGCCGAAAGTCTGTCCACCCGCTCCCCTTCCCATGCCCCGATCATCCATGTACGTTATTCTTGATCTTCGCCATTTCTCGGATCATCCTCCGCCAGGGTTAGCTGCCAAAACGTGCATATTCCAAAGTACTCAAAAGTGCTTATCCTAAGCCCGCACGCCTTCAAACTCTCCCTTTAGCTTTCACTTTTTTGAGTCAATAGCTAATCAATATGAGCCCTGGTAACACTTGAGGCGGACTAAAGCACTAGGCGAATTATTCTCGGGGTTTTCTTTTTTATAGGTACGGGTTGTGTGTCAAATAAATGGTTTAGAAGCATGTGTACGTACGTACGTGCATCCAATGTAGGATGTAGCTAGCTGTAGAGAAGAAACACTACATGTAGTGGAAGGGGTGCTATGTACCGCTATTGAGAGCTGATATATCAGTTTTAAATCACTTTCTTGTTTATTTTACATTTATTTATTTTATTTTTTATTTTTTATTTTTTATTTTTTATTTTTTATTTTTCCCTCTCTCTTTCGCACCCCTCCCATCTGCCGTCGACTCAATGCAGCCCATGTGCCCCTCGCATCTGGTTAGCCTAATGGCCTAGACCGAGACAAAACTATTTTCGATGGCGCCTGTATCTCGAGAGCGGGGGGGCAAGTCATTTTGACAATAAGACCAGTAGGATAAGCAAAGAAGCCGAGTCTGATCGTGCAGAGTAGTCAGATAAGTGAGGTATCGTGAGAGATATTTCATATTCTCTTCCAGCCTCTCATCAGGCTTTTTTTCCCGATGGAGGGATGGTCGATCTACACGGAAATCGGGTTTCTACAGGTGTCATCTTCGAGTTACCCACCAATCATGAGCTATCACTCGCAATAATACCTTCGTCGAGTAACCGAGTAGCCAGGGTCAGGAAATATAGTAAAAAGCCTTCTATAGGCATTAATATATGAGCATAGACCTATTGACTCTAGATTCATGTGAGAACTGGACGTAAAGGCCTGTGTTGCCTGGTCTATCATGGAATCTCCTGGATGAAACCTTACTTCTTGGCCACGTGCGACAGAACAAACCTGTCGAATCGACCAAGTTACGGTTAGACTTCCCAGACACTGAATCACTGAAGTTCAAGCGAGCTCGAGAGCCATCAATAACCTAGCTCTAGACATGGACGTCAGGCGATCTCGGGGAAAGAGCGCTTCCCCGCACCTTCCAGCGTCTCACTCCCGCGGCGGCTGAGATACATGATCGACCGACCCTTCCTGAAGATCAATCAAGCGCGAACTGATGGCAAAGAGGGCAAATAAAACTTCTCCAAGTTAGCTGAGAAGCCGCCACATTACCTGTTCTAATCCTCACGATGTCAAGCTAGATTAGAACAACGGCCCCCGCGTGACTAGCTCCTAGCTAGCTGGAAGACCGAGCACTCGAATACTTATCGTCACGGCGTTTACATCTGACTTCGCTATCTAGCCAGCTATCTGCGGAATCAGCTTCGGAACTTTCCACATCTTGGAGCTGCATTTCCTGAGTTTTGATAGTCGAGACGCCACCACCACCACCACCACCACCACCACACCTTCTCCTTCTCCTCCTCATCCTCCTTTGGGTTTAAGTTGTGTTGTTTTCAAACTCCTAATATCTTGCTTCATCCCTTGCCTCACGAGAGGAAAGGCAGACATCCCGGAGCGTTGCTTCGCCATTGTCCAATCGAGGTCTAGCTTCCATCAGCTTGGAGAGGTCAATATTCACATATCTGTTTCGATAGATGAATATTGAATCTCGAGCCCGCTATCTGGTTGTCGATCAGGGTGCCTTCATGCCTCAGATATATTTATGACCCCACACCATGCATAAAAAAATAGGCACAAAAAGACTATCGTATTACTATGGATCCGTTATATTTCCTGCGCAACAGGCAACGCTTCAACGGTTACTATTCCGCTACTTGAGGGCGAGATATTAGTACTCAACGTCTGCAAGGATCATCGACGTCTACGTCTTTCAAAACGTAACTCGATCTCGTGTGCTCACCGATACGGCTTGGTCCGATCACTGACCCTGTTTGAGCGATATCTACCATTTTATGTCGCCAATAAGGCCGCGACTTCTTTTGACCGAAGATCATATCCGAGGGTAATGATTAAAAGCAAGAAATATATTTCTGCTAGTTAATGAAGCTTGACCCTGAAAACGACGGCAAAAGGCGGCCCGCAATACTTACCCCTAGAAGTGCATATCGCTCCCAGATATGCAGCTTTTCGTTGAGGATAATGTGTAATTCACCCCACCTTTAGCGGTTACTGCTGAATCACCTATTGTTGTACAGTATTGGCAGCTAATTATATGGTAGTTTAGCAACAGTTATTATTCGTTCAGCGCTTAAAACGCCCTCTCTAGGCAGTTATCGCGGATCGATGATCCAGATACAGGCCTAGAGGCCGGGGGTGGGTCTAGAGCCAATAGACGAGCACGTGCATCGGAATCACGAAACAAAATTGCAGACATCTATTAATTCACAACTATCGACAGGCATAGAGGATGCGGTCAAGAACATGGTGCGCACTGTTGATTTCAGATGCTGCACGTGGATTTATACCCCTTAGATGCCCAATTATAGGCAGGGTTACTATCGACTGGGCGGGAAACCTCTCGATGAGAGCACGCGCAGGGCCGAAGGGATACTGACGAATAGGTGTCTGGACTGGATGTCTACTAACACTGAACTGTACAATGTTGAGTGCGTTTTGAATGCTAAAAACGTGTTTACAACGCCTTCCCTCCTGCAGAATCTAAAAGTAACACCCCCTTCCACATTTTCATTTCCCCCCACGGATCCAAGACAAGGCCCACGGGAAAGTACCCATGCTTTAAAGTTAGGCGAGATCGGTACCACAACAGCCGTTGAATGTTTCATCTTCCTCACTAGAGTTAACGCACTCAGGAACCTCGGTACAGCGGCACTGATCACCGTGTGACGAATCGCATCAGTGCGAGCGCCGAGCTAAACAGGTAGACGTCGCGAAGTTGCATAAGAGTGTTTACTTTACGAGTCCTGAGCGCGCGCGAACCTGGGTTACGGGCGGCCTTTTCAACTTCATCTATCCTGGCTTTGGGGAACTTGGGGTCAAAGAACCGGGAAAGATACTTAAAAATATGTACCTCGAGTTCGTGGGCTTGGAATGATTGGTGTTACCGGTAGCCTCACTACACACACCGTACGGCGTAGTCGAGACCGGCCGGGATAAGCAAGCCACACAAACAATTGTTTGTTGTATTAAACCACAAGATAATTGTAATTGAAGTAGAAAATTCCTCAGACTTTACCGGATTCCTACACAATATATATGAATAATTAGAGGCCAGAATATCCGGTTTTATCTTTTGTTTTTCCTGTTAGTTTTGACCATTCGTGCTCTAATAATTCCTCTGCTGGTCGGATCTTTCTTTTCTTTTTGTACCTTGACGGTTACTTTCCATTCTTTTATATTACTTTTTACATTCAAGAGGCGGTCTAGACGACTATACTCTCACTTGATATAATTAATATCATTTTGTAGGCCTATCATCTTGTTTTCTTGGACAGATGCGAGGACAAGCAATTCTTGCGGCGGCACTATCCGGGCTTTTCTTTTCCCGGTCTGTGCTGGCTACTAATTTCATCCAAGGAGGTAAGAACACCTAGATTCTGACGTATGTATATATCAATCTGGACTGATATATCAGTCAATATTGGGGCCTGGCTTGTGTTGGAAAAGTGGATGAATTCTGAGCCTTTTGCAAATACTAACGCTGAGGACGAATACTCATTATGCAAAACATTGGGGCCTGATAAGTGTAAAACGGTACTAGAAGCCCATTGGGGGGGATCCTGGTTCAACCAAGCCACTGTCACAGAATTGGCCAACTCTGGCGTCAATGCGTAAGTGCTTCTGAACTCTAAAAAAATGTTTCATATATCAACGCTGATTCTAGCCATCTTGATGCAGGCTTCGTATTCCAATTGGATACTGGGCTTTTGACAATAAAGATACACCATACGTCCAAGGTTCAGCTGCATGGATGGATAAAGCCATAGAGTGGGCACGTACTGCCAAGATGAAGGTCTGGGTCGATCTTCACGGTGCTCCAGGTAGCCAGAATGGATTTGATAACTCCGGACAATCAGGAGAGGTCTCATGGCAAAAAGGGGATAACATCGAGCGAACAAAAGAAGTCTTAAAAATAATGGGGAAGAAATACGGAAGCAAGAAATATGCGGACGTTGTTGTTGGAATCCAACTCATCAACGAACCAATCTCATGGGGAAATAACAACTTTGATACGACTTATCAATTCGCAGTCGACGACTACTGGGCTGTAAGACAAGCGGCCGAAAACAAGAAGTTGATGGTCATCATGCATGATGCATTTAGAGGGGTATCCAGTTGGGAAGGCCTTCCTGAAAGAACTTCTGCTGGTGGCCCTGAAAGTGGTCTCCTGGGTATCGATACCCATATGTATCAGGTTAGTGATTTTGCCTAGATTCCCTCAATAAGTGTTGGATTATTCCTCATCACATCTTGTTAATACGGTACTAGTGTTTTATTAAGGAAGACAAGGCCCTTGCCCAGGAAAAACACGTAGAAAAAGCTTGTGGCTGGGCCACTGAGCTTAAGAAATCCAAAGGGTTCCTGTCTACATACGTTGGCGAATGGTCTGCTGCCACAGACATCTGCACGTATCCTGACGGTACTAACACAGCTGGGGCCACATGTAGCGTTGACGGCTGTCAATGCCAAAGTAACGTAGATAGCAAACAGTGGAAACAACCCATGAAGGATGCCGTTAGACGTTATATGGAAGCCCAACTGGATGCGTTCGAGCACGGTGCCAACGGATACTTCTTTTGGGCATTCAAAGGGCCGGGGGCGTGGAGCTGGCTGAATGGTGTCCAGCAAGGATGGATTCCTCAGCCTTTGGATGATAGAAAATTCCCTAACCAATGCAAATTTTAGCCATGTATTTAGATATCAACATATAGAATAGATAGACCAACAAGAGATAATTCCTGTTAAAATGTTTGAGGAAGTATCACGACATTGTTTCACCGAGATTGTCGACAGGTCAGGTGTCTTCAAACTAGATGATTTGGATATCCGGCAAAGAGCGGCCCTATGGCACTGTTAACTGGGCGCTTAAACAAGTTTAACTTGCATTAAATGGAATCACTGTTCTCTATAACATAACACACAAAAGTGTTGTAGTTTTCAAAATTGGGGGTCTGGATATCATTGTCAGGTTACATCATATTCAAGAAATGGTAACACCTGTTGTGTGACAGCCATGCGGGGATCGGTAAGCCAAAGCGCGCATACATCCCCCGTCTCTTGGCATTCAGGCATCGCGAGCGTTGCGGACGAACACCACTGCTAGTAAACAACCTCGACAGAATTCCGTCATATCCAAACAGAACAGTCGTTCTCTACTGCCAATGAAGATGAATGAAATTGGTGTTGACGAGAATAAGATCGAAGCATTAGTCAACTTGGGCCTCCCACGAGATGCCGCCGTACAAAGTTTGAAGGTTCCGGCCCCGCAGCTATTGTCGATTTACATAGACCTCCCCTCAATCTGGCTTCTCTAATCCTCATAATATTATTTTATAGTCTTGCAACGGCCAACTTGAAAGGGCAGCAGAATATTATTATGGCGGAGACTACCAGAAGGTGAGCCATATCTGGATAGGTTTTTGTGGAGGAACATAAAAAACTTATGATGTCACTTTAGGCCCAAGATAGTGTAAAATGGAGCGAAGAGGTTTGGGCCGCACCTAGGGAGGGTCCGACTGGCCCAGCCCTACCACCAGGTATTGGGAATAACTCACCTCGTATGCTTCGTCAGCGGAGGGAGCTTTTTTTAAGCAATGGAAACGTCAGTTTTAACGGATTCATGCTTGTTTAGAGTTTCGCATACAATCATCAGATGTGCTACCGCCCAGTGTCTTTGAACCCGACTCTCGGCCGCCTTCTAGAATTTCAAACCGAAAACCAATCGATTTGACGGACGGAGACGAAAACGGTAGATTTTCATGCTTCAGGTTGGACGGACCGGTTACTGATATCTATGAAACGCCAGATCCCGAACTTGCTCGAGCTCTGGCAGCTTCATTACAAGAATCTTCTGGAGACCACTCTGGTGGCTACTTCAGTCAACAGGAAAGCGGAATTACGCATACTTCACCAACGAACCCCAATTTTGGGAGAGCACCACCAGAACGAGAGTATGAACCCAATCAGTGGGCTTTGACCACAACACAGACCCATGAGATATTTCTTGACCCTTTCCCTGCAGATAGGAAGCGTATACAAGGAGATCCGTCGTTTCTCAGACCTGATAAGTCAGGGGGCAATCTTGCTGCTCTCATCACAATACTTCACTCTATTCCAGGTGCCAGAGAGGCCCTCTTGTTTAGAATACTTGTTGGTCCGGATTACGGTCATGATGATCAATGGTGGAATGGGCAGGCGATCAGAAAATTGAGGATTGTTAATGTCGATGAAGATCTAGAGGCATTCGCGCCTGAGGAGATAGTAGAGGCCCAGCGTCTGATGGCCTTCTTAGACAAAACAACAAGGGCTTATGGAAGTGTTGAAGGGCTATCTTCTTTACAATCCATACAGAATGATCCGTATAGTGGTAATTCTCTTCAGTCTGGCACTATCACCGAGAAAATCTCGATCTACTCATCGTCTGACAGATTACTTGTCGCAGGGATCATATCGGCTTTCTTTGAAGCCTGGAGAATAGCCACTGATAACGTGGTTTATGATCTGGGCGAGGATGTACATTTTGTAAACCCGTTTGTATCGACGGCTACCCAGCGCCCTCGAGAGGTCTCGATTTCCGATGTTGAACCCCAAATTAGTCATCAGAAATTCGGAGATCTCACCCTCATAGCGTTTGCAGAAGATGCCACACTTTACGATGCGGTTGACAGAGTGGTTTGGACACTGGATGATAATGAGGTTTTCGTGGAATTTTCGGATGTGCTCTGCATATCAATTAAACCTGATATCAACGATACTCCGCGTACAGGTTGCAGGCTGGATATCCCAATGACTTTCTATCCAGACCGATATACTGAAGATTGGATTGAGCCTGTTCGAGAAATCAGAAAGCAGATAGAAGAAAAACGGGCTTTGGTCGTCGATATTGAAATAAAAGAGGAAAAATTGAGGAATTTCAGGTCTAAGAAGATCGGCGGACGAAATCCTACATACGATCCGAAAGTACTTTTAGAATCTGTGATTGAGCACCTATCGACTCCACAACCACCAACACCCTCTCCTGCTGATGATGGGCACGAGGATGTGCCCACCGAGAGCCAGAAGGATAAGACAGAGTTGCAACAAGACGCTGATATACAGTCCCAAATGGGTGACAGTGTGTATTCCCAGGATCGAGATCAAGACACGGTCCATATGTTGAAAAGCATTCTTTCACAGTTAGAAAAGAAATTGGACGGTATGATATAACCCTTAAACCAGTTAGCGATCGGCGGTCTGATCTTTAGATAGACCTCTCAGTGAAAAAGGAAGAGGCCCATAAAGAATTTAAGAAGCTCAAGGATTTATTAACATTGCCCGAAACTTCCGATCCGAAATTACCTGCTCTAACAAAATATTCACTGCGTGGCTTCTCTACTGAACCAACTGTAGTTTACGTGCTTATTCCGGATGACACTATCGGAGTTTCTATCGATGGCGCTTCTTCAAGTTCCGCCAATACATCTGGAGAGCAATGGTGGTGTATTCACTGGGGAACGTCTAACTCAGGATGGGATGATACCCCTACGGCGAGTTATGAGGTCAAGAAGGTGGCCCTAGAGGAAGTTCAATCAGCGATGAAAAACACAGGCGACGGTTCATTATTACTAGTTTACGCCAATGACAATGCCCTCATGCCTCCAGATGGTGTAAACATGTTTTTACCAACAGCCCTCCAAGTATGTGTTCTGGGTTGAATCAAGCTCGGGAATTAACAATGACTAATTTGATACTTTTAGACATTTGTCGACAGGGATAACGCTGCGTTTAAGGCAGAGCTACAGCCTACTTCCCCGGGGAAAAAGCGACACAGCGACTGGCTAGAAGACGAAGATGAAGCGGTGGATATGAACAGTTTCTTGTCCAAAAAGGCATCTTCCTCGAGAAGCAGTGCGACGCTTGAGAATGAAGCCCCAGCCACGCGTCGAAACAGCTTAGAAGGCGCGGAAATGGAGATGACAGAAGGAGTAGATCCGACAGCAACATTAGAGGAGACAATGACAACCCGTCTTCCAGATGGTAATTTTATAAACACTTCAGAACTGGCACCTCCTCCTCGTCAAGAGGAGATGACGGAGAGGGGGCATGTCTCACCTGTTGCAAAAGCTTTCCACTTGGACAAGAATAGGGAAAAGGATGTTGAAATGATGGATGTGGAACATGTGGAGAATGCAGGCACCGAATTAGAGGATTTGGCAAAGACCTGAATTAAAAGTAATTGGGGGTGGGGGGAATGGAATAGTACTTTACTCTGTATGATTTTTAGGGGTTTACATTCCTTTTTCATAGTTTAGGCTGATTACAGCATAGGGATCTGCTACATTCACTACACTGGCAGTGATTTATTATGTTTTACTAGTATGGACTTGGCTGTTTGATATACCAGGGAGAAGAAATGATAGAAAAAGGTTTTCGAGCTCCAAAAAACGGACTAATAAGTATTCAAGAGGCAAGACATCGATTGAGTATGTTAAGATTCATATTGGAAAGACAGACTAAACACCAATTTGAAGCCCAATGCCCAATCCAACCGCCAATCAACCAGATCAACCTTCTGGCAACCCAACCCAACCCGACCCTATGTGTTCCATACTAGGACAAAGAAAAAAAAGAAGAAAAAAAGAGAAAAACCGAAAAAAGAACGAAAACTGATAAACCATCACGACACATGTAATATTACAGATACTCCGCAAAAATTTGTTGTCGACAGACGGAGGGTTTTCTAGGGTCTATAAATGAAAATGGTATGGGGGAAAGTAGTAGTAAAAAAAAGAACTCCATGGGGACCAATAAGATAAGATAAGAAAGAAAGCTATCCAAAAGGAGAAAGAAATAGGACAGCCAGCATAAGTAGGGACGTGGCAGACCGAAGCTGCAACCCCCACTACTAACCACCAACAACCACTCAGGGAAAGAAGAAAAAAAAGGCCACATTTTGTTGTTTAAGAAGGTTCAATTAGAACAGAACAGTGGCCCTTTAAAGCAGTTGAAGTGTTTCCTAGCGGCCGTCTATTTGGCGATAGGATCCGAGGCGCCGAAGGGATCAGATCCTGCTACTGACGAGGACTTGCTGGCGCCACCGAAGAGACCACCCGACTTCGCAAGACCTCCCGACTTTCCAAACGATTTTGAGAGAAGTTTTGGCTGGCCCCTATAGAAAAAATCATCAGTCTGTATACTTAAACGGTTGATTGTTGAAGCTATTGGTTACTACTGACTTTGCGAAAGACTTGCTCTTAACGTTCTGGAGCTTCTTGCTGCAGGGTGTCATCATGTCATCGGTAGGAGAAGTGAACGGAGCATTTTTCTGCTCAGCAAGCTTCTGCTGGAGAAGCTGGCGCTGCATTTCAAGGGTTGTAGGGGCCGGGGCGTTCTGCGCCTGGTGCAACGCTTGGATGGCCGGAGAAGGTTCAGCAGAGCTAGCTTGGCTAGCAAGCTTGGAGACAGGTGTGCCGGGTGTAGACATTGTACTTTCTTTGATGACTATGGGAATTTCTTGTGAGAAATAATTGAGGGTTTTGGGTTTGGTTTGGGTGAAGATGTAAGATGTTGGTGGCAGAGAAAAGAAAGAACAGGATGGCTTAATTTGTAGTCGCCAGTCAACAAGAGAGTACCTTGTAGGTGGTTGCTAGAGCAACACCGCGGAGCCGCACGGAACTAGTGGGCATAAACAAGACTTGGGTCGGATTCCCTGTGCAACACGCGCTTCCCTGAGAGGAAGAAAAAGGAACTATGCAAAAAAGAAAATATCTTACTCCGTCCTCATCCCGTGGCTGAAGACCAAAACTAATCGTTTTCGGTTTTCTTGGAGTCTTGGAGTCGGTCTAGGTTTCCTTGAGCAGCAGGTGAATCATGTGATATTTCCAACTGGATCAGCAACGCCCGATATCGATCATGCAAGCTCTTCATTCTCAGTGCTAGTAATTTACATGCATGTATGGTGCGCCCGCTCTTAAAGGTAACCGAAAAATGAGGCAAAGTCGATTGCCTAAGGCTTTTCAACAAAAAAAGTTAAAAAAAATCGGGTCATACAGATTGTAGTACTAGTGATAAACTTTAACTTATATGACCAGATTTTTGATATCTATTCTAGTTGTGAAGCCTTAGGAGTTTGAAATTCCGCATTTTTGTATGTAAAAAGCGCCAAGACTGAGCAAAGTGGAACAGTATTATACCCATTTATACCCCCCAAAAGCGAATTGTGGCAGGAATAAAGCAGGAATGCTAGAAATAGGCCTTCTGATTGGCCTAAAACTCACCTTGCAGCCACAATTGTTCCACTTCCAAATCCTGCCGTGTCACCTTTAAGAGTGTGCGCACCATACATATAGGATCCTTAATATGTAGATCATTGTCACAGCTCTAAATTGGGCATTATGGTAAACAGCACGATAGAGATGTGGTGCAGAAAATGCTTGGTACGTCCCTGGATCATGGATTAACAATTATGAGTATATTTCTGTGGACGCCTTCGAATCGAAAACCTAGCGCAACAGAATTTTCATGCCAGAAATGATCTTTTGAGGAGTAGGGGCAAAATTTTGGTTTGTTTATTTTGGCTTCAGAACTTCATCGGAGCTATAGTATGAACTCACGATTCTTCGGCAACACAGACAGGTTTGAAGCTAAATTCAGAGACATCATTCAGCTGGTGCTATTAAAACTTCAGATATGTACATGCCCTGTATCTAAGTTTCAGTAGAAATTTAAGGGCCATATTCATTATCACTCCATATATTTCAGTCGCCGAGCGCGAGGGAAGAGCTTAGTGGAAGACAAGCTCTTGTGAGAACTCGGTGCATGTTGGGGAGTTCTCGGTACATGTAGTTTTTCGCTACGAGAGGAGTTGATCCATTCCACTAGATAATTTGACTGACCGAGTGATTTCTAATGATTCCTTATACCATATTAGAGTCATAATATGTATTTTACATTTCTTGAATATGCCTGTACAGTCGCACCTCGTTATGTCGTTAGCTTATTCTGGGAGCCAAACCCCTACGAGATAGCAAATATACGAGACAGCAAATAGTCTTTGGTGGAGAAGGGCAGTACCTGTCTCGCAAATCCGTACGAGACAGCAAGAGATCCGAGATATCGAATTACGAGATAGCGAGGTGCGACTGTATTTATTTACACATATGTAGTAGAGCTCTAAATAACAGCACATACTCACCTCACCACGCCGAGCTGAGCGGGGGAAGGCAGATAATTCCAACGCGCCCACGTATATTGAGTCACTACACCCCTGTCGCTCGGTGTTCCTAGTTGGCATTTAATATGCATCTGAAATCATTTCCACTCAATGATGGCACCTACGCGCCCCCACGTATATCAGATCACTGACTCACAGAGTTTTCAAGTTGAAACCTGCTATTCTACTGGTCCTTATTAAAACTGTTGGAACTGCTTTGAAATCAGTTAAGCCAGCTGCAGTGACTCACAGGCGAGAGAGGAGTAATAGGTGTCTAATAGCAACAGAGCTTTTGCACAAGTTTGACTTTTAAGGCTGAGAAACAATGCTTGTAATCACGTGATACCCCACCGCGCCGCGCCCTCCCCCCCCAAAACAAAACAAAACTCTGGAGCATTCGCGTTCCTGAGGCTGCAACTCTGGGTTTGATATAAGTGCTCAAGGAGAGCTATATAACGAGCCTCTCTACCTACCTTCTCACGCTCTTTCATCTTTCATCAATACCGTCGCTACATACCTTCGATTCACCCAAAACCTACTCCCTCACATTCCCAAGCGCAAAATGACCCAGGATATAGAGGAGCTTAGGAAAGCCGTCGAACTTTTCGGGGGTGCCGTTGTATGCGCAGTCCCAATGGACTTTCAGGATGCCTCGTACGTGCGCCTCATACCCTCTGCAGTTGTAGTCATGTACTGATTCTTTGTGTGGGAGAAACTAGAAACTTCCGTGAAGTCCCAGACAACCAGGAGGTCTACGTCTCCATGACCGATGGCAACGACACCAGCATAATTTTCGATATTGCGCAACGAGTCGAGGCGCCTAGTGGACCCTCTGACATGGACGCCGTGGACTACCATTTTAAGGACGTCGCAGTGGACCAAGATCGTACTACGAAAATCTGGAACAAAAGACCTATCTCTGCCCCCCATCAGTATGTAGTTTCCTCAGCCTAGTTGTTTGAAGTGGAGTATAAAAGCTAATATTTCTTGGTGGTAGTTCTGATAAGCCGGCTTATCAGGTCATTGGTACGGTATCGGCGCGGCCGACTGAGCAGCCTACAGACCCACCGACCTTTATCGCCATCATAATGACGATATTGAGATTGAAGGAGCAGACGGCAGATATCGTGATCACCGTCAATATACCCTTCGATAATCCTGAAATAGTGAGGAGCGAGAAGTGTATTGCAAGCCCGACATATACTGGCGGTGACATCGACCCGGCAAGTGGAGTCAAGAGTGCGCTGTTGGAGTATGGGATGAAGGTATCACAGGATTTAGTAAATGCATTCCAGATTCTGGACTTCGGCTTGTTTTGCGAGGATCCGGTGGAGTAGGGGTATTGGATAGATAGATAGATATGGGAAAGAGATCATTCAAATGGGAAGCGGAGGAGATTACTTGGGACACTCTGAGACGAGTGATATTCGATGCAGCCACATGTGCACCACGGACACTCAAAACTCACTGTAAAGGCTTTATTGCCATTGGAGCGTGCCATAAATTAAACAGGCCTTTGAAATCTGGTGACATGAACATCCGATACAGAATAAGTACCAACATGTAGAGATGTATATGGAGTAGCTCAGACCATACATGGCATATAGGTATCCCCACCTATCATCCCCAGTTCCCCCACACATTCGGCGGTGCAGGGGGCATGTTTAGTCTTCCCGACCCCTTCCCTTCCCCAGTCTTGGCAAGACATAGATGTGGCCTAACACACCTGAGCCGAGCTACCGAGGCTCAACCAACCCTCTTCCTGTGACGACCCCGAACTACATAACCCGCGTGTCTTCTCGCTCTCAGCTCTAAATTGGATAGCCCATACCTCAATTACGTACATAACTCACCCTCAAAACAAACAATTACAAACAAAATGGTCTACCAAGTTCCTGCCATTGTCGCGGACAAGGTCTCGCCGAGAGCTAAGCAACTGTTGCAGAAGGTAGCTTCTTCTACCACTCAATTTTATAATTAGTAATACTCATAAGATAATTTCCAGGTCTCAGACTTTGTTGAAAACGAATGTATCCCCGCCGATTCCATCGTCGACGCCCAGCTCCCTACCGACCCTTCAAAACGCTTTCTTAACACCTACCCTTCTATAATCGACGAGCTCAAGGCAAAAGCCAAAGCACAGGGCCTTTGGAATTTATTCCTGTCACAGATCCACTACAAAGAGGGTGTGGCATTGACAAACCTTGAGTATGGACTGATGGCTGAGCTTTTGGGGAAGAGTTTCGTAGCGTCAGAGGCTATGAATTGCTCGGCACCTGACACGGGGAATATGGAGGTTCTGGCGAAGTACGGGAATGAGGCGCAGAAGAAGGAGTGGCTGGTACCGCTTTTGAATGGCGAGATTAGGAGTGCGTTCGTAATGACAGAGAGAATGAAGGCGAGTGCGGACGCGAAGAATATCGATCTAGATATTAGGCAGGAAGGTAACGAATATGTGCTCAACGGATCGGTATGTTATTGTACCCCAATCATCTCCACAATGTATAACTGACTCGATCAGAAATGGTGGAGCTCTGGTGCTGGAGACCCACGGTGCAAGCTTTATCTCGTCATGGGTAAGACGGACTCCAACAACCCCAACCCCTACAAGCAGCAGTCAGTGGTTATCGTACCCGCCGGAACCCCCGGAGTAACAGTTCTCCGCTCTCTGTCAGTATACGGTTATGATGGTGAGTATTCTTTCCATTGGCAAATTCTTATAAATATTAACCCTGTTTAGACGCTCCTCACGGCCACTGCGAGCTCATCTTCAAGAACTGCTGTATCCCCATTACAAACATGGTCCTCGGCCCCGGACGCGGTTTCGAGATTATCCAAGGGCGTCTTGGTCCAGGCCGCATCCACCACTGCATGCGCTCCATCGGCGCCGCCGAGATGGGTCTTGCCTACATGATTGCTCGCGTCAATGACCCTGCGCGCAAAACTTTTGGAAAGCTTCTCTCCGAACACGGCACTATCCTTGAATGGATCGCCAAGTCTCGTATTGAAATCGATGCTGGAAGACTGCTAGTGCTACAGGCCGCAGACAAGATTGACCGTTCCGATGCAAAGGGAGCTATGAGCATGATCTCAGAGGCGAAGATCTATGTTCCATCTATGGCATGTACAGTACTTGATAGAGCAGTCCAGGCACACGGAGCTGGAGGTGTAAGCCAAGACTTCCCAATCGCGAAGATGTGGGCACACCAGAGAACGCTGAGGATCGCAGATGGACCTGATGAGGTGCACCTGAACCAGTTAGGCAGGACAGAAAATAAGAGGGCCGATGAGATTACAGCAACGTTGAAGATGCAGAAGGCGAAGGTTGAGGAGCTGATGAGGCAGTACAAGATTCAGGACAAGTCTAGGTTGTAGGATCTTGGGGGTTAATGAATTATGAAAGACATATACCAGTACGGTGGAACGACAGTTTGTACTTTATAAAATATATCTTATATTTTCCTTGATTTTAAAATCGATCCCGTATAGTTATCAGGTGATTGTTCCAAAGTTATGATAGAGAAAGTTTGGTCTTAGTACAAGTTGTTAAAGAATGATCACATCCAAGATTCATCTAAAGTTGGTACACGGCTCTTTTGGGTGAGAGTAATTCGAGATTGTAGATATTCGATATTCTTTTAGGTATCTGAAGAGTAAAAGAGGTTATGGCATTTCTGATATTCATGTACTCGCACGTTTATTAAATTGCTGCAATTTTTGTAGGGGTTTTGCTACAGTGATATCTGGATCATTTAATGAACGCACGAGCAAAAGCCCGCATTTATTCCACCGGTTTAGGAATATCGGTGAGATACTCATACTCGAGTGATAATCTGAGCTTTAGCCTTCTTGATGCTGTACCTCTTTTCTCATGCCCTTTCTTTGTGGAGAGGGACTTGCGGCCCCTCTGTCTATGTATCCACTTTTGTAGTCAACCGTATTTTAGTAAGAGACAGGAAGAGGTGCTGGAAGGTGAGTAGATGGGATGCATATGGAGGACAGTAAGTGGACAGGAAGGATGATAGTCGGCGAGTAATGGGAGGGGCGGGGGGTAAAGGGTGTAGAGGACGTAGAGGGTATATATCCGGTGTCTGCTTCCTTGGATGAATTTTACTTCCCGTCTCACTCCTCCCCACTTGAGGGAGTAAAGCAAGTCGTTGTTGCTCGAGCTTCTACTCTACTAGCGCGTTTGTCAAATGGAGTTAGTCGTCCTACCTGTTGTCCTTGGCGCCTTGGCATTTAAATAACATTTCTAGCCAAGAACACATATGGGCGAGTGGTCTAGCGGTTCTCTGCACGACTCGCCTGCTGGACACCGAGAGGTTGTGCCTGGTCTTCGATTACAGAAGGTCCATGGTTCAATCCGGGGGTGGGAGTAGCAGATTTCGGTCCGGCGAAATCTGCAGTACTTTTTGTTCTTTTTGTGTATGAACGAATAGAAATAAATACGAGGAGTTTAAGGAATTAGGAGTAGTATATTGTAATATATAGATTATAAATAGCTACAGATACCTTGGGGGGGAAATGCAGGTTCTATTTCCAGAGCAAGACTTTTGCTCCATAGTTGTGTTTGGCGAGAGCAGGTGTCCACTGTCCTTGTGCGATTGTAGTCCGATTTTTTTGGGGGGCTGGGAGAGCGGACGGTAGGTGAGGAGCTACATGTAGATGTTGTAGCTTTGGGGGAGAAAGAATAGAGACATGGCTACAGGTTGGTGATGGGTTCAAGTCTGTTTGGTCCTGTAGACTAGTATCATACCCGATGCTACCTGAGGGTTTATCCATTATTTTTTGAATTTATCTATTTACGTAGCTTTGGTGTATTTGTGTATGGAGAGTTCATGTAGTTGACCATGACGCGTGCTTGTAGTGGACAGGTCCTCTAGCTCTGCTAGTAAGATCGGAGCAGGGATCTTTGGTCTACTTTATCTCATCCTCACGAGGAGGTTTAAACAATTGGCAGAAGTAATTGACAGAATCTACAGTATCCACAGTCTAGAGTTTAAAATATAGGTTCATGTATGATTTTAGAATTCTATCAATAATTCTACTATCAATGATCCTACTATCACTACATGTAGCACCCAAATCTTGCAAGTGAGTGACACCCCATGTCGCACCGCATCGGAAGCGCTGTGGCGCCCCCCCCCCCCACCAACTGTGGCTCACGCTCACCAACGGCACAACGCTGATTGGCCCATCCTCGTTGGCGGGGATTCCCTTCCTCCCTCATTCCCGAGGTAACGACTTTCTCCGTCTCTGAACTTCCCGGGCCCGCCCCATCACAAGCAACCGCAACCCGCAACAATCACCATTTTGCAAAACCACATCTACACCATTCCCTCCGCCCCATCATCCATCACAACTTAATTTCAATGGCCTCCGCATTCAGAACCTCCGCCCTGCGCACAGCAGCTTCCGCCTTCAAGACATGCGCTCGACCGGCCGTCGCCGCTCCAAAGATTGCCTTCTTGAAGCCGCAGCCTAGAATCGCCGCTTTCCACACATCAAAGTCCCTCAGCATTCTTCCAGCTGGCCCCCGTGAGTCCCGACCGAGTCTTACAGTATGAGGAGGAGAGGGACATGTGCTGACTTAATTGCTTCACTACAGAGGTCATCGAGGGAACCAGTATGATATCCCGCCCTATCTACTCGGTTCGTTGCGTTGGCACAGTACTGATTATACCCTAACTATACAGTTAACGACGCCGCGCCCGTCCCCGAGCCTAACCCCTCCCACGGCTCTTACCACTGGACTTTCGAGCGTGTACGTTTCCCCCCACCTCTCCTCTCCCCTCTCCCCCATCACGCACCATACTAACCTAGTCCCCACCAACACAGCTCGTCTCTGTCGGTCTCGTCCCGCTCACCGTCGCCCCCTTCGCCTTCGGCTCCGTCAGCCCCGTCACCGACGCAATTCTCGGCGCTGCTGTCGTAATTCACTCCCACATCGGCTTCGAGTAACCCCCCCCTCCTCTTCTCCTCTCTCTTTCTGATGAAAAGCAAGAACATGAGCTAACATAAAGGGCATGGAAAAGAGCTGCGATCATAGACTACTTCCCAGAGCGCAAGCACCCCACGGCGAAGAAGGCGTTGATGTGGATCCTCAAGGGCAGCACGGTCTTGGTCCTGGTCGGGCTGTATGAGTTTGAGACGAACGATGTGGGCATTACGGAGGCTGTGAAGAGGGTCTGGAAGGCTTAGAGGGCTGTTAGTGGAAGAGTGGAAGTGTGGGCGTGAGAGGATGGACTAGGTAAAAGTGGAGCCTTTTTTTTTGTTACCTTTTTTTTTTTTTTTTGACGGTACTGCTGGGCCCTTGCGTTGCGGTGTAGATAAATATATAAAGTTTATTTTTGCCGGCGGGCCTGCCTATGAGAATTTGGGTTAGGAGAGGGATAGCGGTATTGGCTCTTCGGGGTGTGAGGATTGGGTTGAAAAGCTCCATCGCTATAGTCTCCATGGATCCGGCGTCAGATACCTATATAGTAAGTAACCGGCCGGCCAGCCAGCCAGCCAATGGGAACCGCTCATAAACCAACTACACCATTAATTGCGACTCCTGAAGATTTACCTATCCAGTAGAGTACCGGTTACGTCAAGTAGTTGTGGAAGCCAGTCGAATCCTGGCTAGTATCCGAGTGATAATTTATGAACCCATGTAAACTGGCTGGCGTGTGTGAATACATAAAAATACTCCAATTACCCTTCGGCGGCGGGATAGATAAAAAGAGCCACCAAACCCGCCCTACACTACATATGAGCAGCGCTTCATCTCAACCCATCTCCACGGCCCCACACACGCCGCTACGCCCTACGGATTGCTACATGTATGTTGCTCTAGCCATGCTATAAAATATCTTACATAGCCATAGCTACGAAGACTTCACATCCGAGCACCCAAAAGAAAATATCCTGTAGCAGGGGCATCGTGTAGCTATGGCGGTGGAACAGTAGGCCGTGGAGTTACATAAATACCATGGCGCTGCATGCCGCATGAGTGTGGGGTATCTGTGGGGGATGGTTTTCTCTCTTTGGTGCGCCTAGAGACCTATAAGATATGGCTAGAGACAGACGGTCTTGCGTCTGGACTGTCGGGCTGGGTCTTTGCCCCACCATCCGAGCTCCTGAAAACTTTACGGCAGCGCAAAGCAAGCACTCGACCATACCGACGGAGCCAGCGGGTGAAAGGGTGCACGCAAGTCTAGCTGCCTACCTACATAAGTACATGTATCTATCTCAGGCTTCTAAAGCCCATCTCGCCCGCATACCGCCCCAAGACGTTGTTGGTGTGCCTGTAAAAAGCAAAGCGAGCGAGAACCGAGTGACAGTCCATGACGCACCACCACAAACCAAGCCCAAAGAGGGCAAGCGGGGGGAGGACCGGGCAATGATCGTATCGCCAAAAAAAGGATAAAGAACTTTTTTTAACATAGGAAATACATGTATTTGGGGGGTCGTCTATGTACTTGTAGATCTACTTGAAGTAACGAGATCTACGCACTGTACAGAACCACAGAGAAGAAGAGAAAGAAAAAGAAGAAAAAAGGAAGCACTTTTACCCATCCATCCCATCCATCCGTCCATCCATCCATTTACAAGCAAAAAACCGCACACAAGAAGCCGCATACAAAAAAAAGTATAACAATCTAATAAAAGAAGGAAAAAAAGGAGAGAGAGACCCTAGATGCCTCTCTACCTAACCCTCGAAGACCTCTTCGCCGGCTTCTCACCGATCCGCGCCTTGCCCAGCCCCTGGCGGATCTCGTCGAGCTGCTCAAGCCCCGTGAGCGTCTTCCCCTTGCGCACGCGCGGGTTGTTGCGGCCGACGACGTTGTAGCCTTCTAGGAACTCGTCCATGATGTTGTTGAAGTCCTGGCGCGTCTCGGGCACGGGGGCGGCGGGCGCTTCGTCTTCTTCTTCGGAGTCTTCGGCGTATTCTTCTTCGATCTGTGTGTATGTTAGCAAAAATGCCTATTACAATATAAGGGGGTGAGAGGGTTGAGTACCTTATCGAACCGGGCATCCAGCGTAGTAAGCCCCTCCGTGCGGAAGAGGGAAGAGCTGGTCATGGAGTACCCTGAGCTCTCAGTGCCAGCTTTTCTGTGCCGCCGCCGGGTCCGCCCCGACATGGACATTGTGCCGCCGAAGGACGAGGTGCCACCGAACGACATTGTGTCGGCCATGGAGGAGGCGTCGTCGGCGCCCGCCATCTTCTTGTTGCGCTTCTCGGCCTTTTTGAATTTCGAGAACTCGCTCATCCAGGCGTTGTCGTCGGCGGGTGCAGCAGCAGCAGCGGGAGCATCCCCTTCCCTCGCCTTCTCGTCTGTCTCTTTCACCTCCGCTTTCTTCTCTCCAGCGGCACCTTCCTCAATGGCTTTCGCCTTCTGGTGCTCTCCAGGCTTCTCAGTCGCATCCGACTCCCACCCACCATCCTCCTCCTCCTCCTCATCCCAGAAGTCCTCACCATCATAAAACTCATCCGGCATCGCCTCCCCGCCCTCCGCCAGCTCCCCAAAGATATCCTCATCATCATCAACATACGCCTCGTCCTCGAGCGCCTCCAGCACCTCCCTCAGCCGCGGATCCATGTCCGGCCGGAACCCGCGGATCTCATCCTGCACCTCCTGCTGGTCCCTCCACGTCCGCTGCAGCTGCACCTCACTCGCCATCAGCTCCTTCGGGATCAGCCTCTTCGGCTCTTGCTCCTCCGCGCCCGCTGCTAGGGCGGCGGCAAGGTCCGTCTTGCCCTTGGCCTTGGGCGCCTTTGCGTCGATGACGACGGCCTCGGCGGCGCCCGGCTCGCGCAGGTGCTGCATGTAGTCGTAGGCGCTGTCGTCGTAGTAGATGCCGTACATTGCGGCCTCGCCCTCGTTCTTGCGCGGCGGGGCGGCGCCGGAGGCCGCGAGCTCGGTGGAGAGTTGGGTTGCATTCTTGATCTTGGTGTTGGGCGCGGCGACGGGGGTGAAGACGAAGTCGGGGGCGGTAGAGTCGTGGATGAGCGGGTCGGCTTGCGAGCGGTAGCGCAGCTGGTAGGTCTCGGAGGACTTTTTGTCGCTGCGGGGTTGTTAGTTTTTGGGGGGGGGGGGGGGGGGGAGAGATTTGAGGGGGAGGGGGAGACTTGCATCCAGCGTTTGGTGCGGGGGGGCATGGTTATTGATTACTTTACTGAGGAGGGGAGGGTGTGGGTTGGTAGTGTTGTGGGGGGAGGGCTCGGAGATAGTGGAGAGAGAGAGAGAGAGAGACGTGTGGAAGAGCGCAATTGTGCTGACAAAAGGCGTGGGAAGCGAGAGAGAAAAAAAAAATATTGTAGCAAAGTTGGAGAAGACGCTCGCTCTCTTGCACCTGTCACGCATCAGTCATTCAGTCGCACCGCAACGCTCAACCCCACCACAGCCCACAGCCACAGCCCACAGCCCACAGCCCACAGCCCACGTCAACCCCGCTACATAGAAAAACTCCCCCCGGAGAAAAAATAAAACATCAGAGCCCCCCCAACACAACCAACCACAACCACAACCACCACAAACAGATACAGATACAGAAAGACCGCCAGGAAATACACACACCATGGGTCTACCAGAGAGCAAGAACCGAGTCGGCCTCGGCAGGGCACTCATGAACTCAAACAACAAGACCCGCAGGCTCGCTGGTCGGGGGCGCGGCGCGGGCCGTGGCGGGTCGTCGGGGCCTGGTGAAGTCGTACGTAGGCCAATGAAGCGCTACATATAAGATATAGTCAGAGGCTAACAAACTGCGCTGTCTGTAGATGCTCACGGAGAAGCACGAGGCCGACTGGTACAAGATGCGGTCCATCACGCAGCAGAACGATCTTGACGGTGCGCACATGCATTGCAGTCCCCTATTTATAGAGAATGGGCAAAAAAGCTGATTGAGATATCATTGCGACTACAGAGTTCTTGACGACGGCCGAGCTGGCAGATACAGACTTCACAGCCGGTATGGCCCACTCACTCTTCTTATGCCAGTTTACTCGAACCAAATACTAACGCCCCCTCTCCGCAGAGAAAATGGACATGAAGATCATCCACAGCAGCCAAACCAACCCCTACCTCCTCAACCCCGACCAGGAGCGCACAACGCTCGCAAAGCACACCGAGTCCAAGCGCGAACTCACCGTGCCCCGCCGCCCCGCCTGGGACTCCAGCACCACGCCCGCCGAGCTCGACCGCGCCGAGAAGGACTCGTTCCTGCAGTGGCGCCGCGGGCTCGCCCAGCTCGAGGAGTCCAAAGACCTTCTCATGACGCCGTTCGAGCGCAACCTCGAGGTGTGGCGCCAGCTGTGGCGCGTCATTGAGCGCTCCGACCTCGTCGTGCAGATTGTCGATGCGCGCAACCCGCTGCTGTTCCGCTCAGAGGACCTCGAGAGGTATGTCTTGGAGGTGGGTGCCGAGAAGAGGAACTTGCTGCTGGTGAATAAGGCGGATATGATGACGCTGGAGCAGAGGACGGTGTGGGCGGAGCACTTTGAGAGGGAGGGGATTAGGTATCGGTTCTTTTCGGCAGCGTTGGCGAAGCAGAGTAATGAGGAGCTGGAGTTTAGTGATGATGGGGAGGATAGCGGCGATGAGGAGGTTGAGGTCGTGGATGAGAATGAGGAGGAGATTGCCAAGAGCACCAAGGACTTGAAGATCTCGAAGGAGCCTGCTGCTGCTGCTGGCGAAGAGGACTGGGAGGACGATGCGTCTGACGCAGAGCCCGAAGAGCCCATTCGGACGAGAATCCTCACCATTGACGAGCTGGAGGACCTCTTCCTCGAGCACGCCCCCGCACCTGAAGGCAAGTTCCCCCCAAACTCCTCCATACAATCGCTATATATATATATATATAACAAAAGACTAACACCCCCCCACAGAAGACGCCGACCCCTCCGCCCCCCCGCGCAAAACCCAAATCGGCCTCGTCGGCTACCCCAACGTCGGCAAATCCTCCACCATCAACGCCCTCATCGGCGCCAAAAAGGTCTCCGTCTCCAGCACCCCCGGCAAGACAAAACACTTCCAAACCCTGCACCTCAGCGACCGCATCATCCTGTGCGACTGCCCCGGCCTCGTCTTCCCAAATTTCGCAACCACCAAGGCCGAGCTCGTCTGCAACGGCGTCCTGCCCATCGACCAGCTCAGAGAATTCACCGGCCCCGCGGCACTCGTGGCGAAGCGCGTACCGAAGCCGTTTTTGGAGAAGGTGTACGGGATCAAGATTGTCACCCGCCCGCTCGAGGAGGGCGGCACGGGCATACCCACCGGCGAGGAGCTGCTCTATGCATATGCGAAGGCACGCGGGTTCACCAAGACGGGTGCGGGCAACCCCGACGAGAGCCGGGCTGCGCGCTACATCTTGAAGGACTACGTCAACGGCAAGCTTCTGTTCTGCCACCCGCCCAACACCGACCCGCCCATCGACGCGCTGCACTTCAACCGCGACCTCTACTCCGACGAGCACCTGCCGTCGCACCGGCGGACGGGCGAGGAGCACCACGACGACGAGGAGGAGGAGGGGGAGGGGGATATGGTGGTGCTGGGGCTCCAGGAGACGGGAAGGAAGAGTAGTAATCTGGATAGGCAGTTTTTTGGCGCGGCGGGAGGGTCGGCGGGGCATCTGAGGAACCCGTTTCATCAGGCGGCGGGGCAGGCGGGGGCGCTGCAGGGCGGGAAGGGCCTGTCGGGGAGGAAGGCGAGGACGATGATTGCGCTGGATAATGGGCTGAGTGCGGAGGAGGTGAGGGCGGTGATGGGGAGTAAGAAGCATTTTAAGAAGGGGAAGAAGAGGGAGAAGGTTTCGACGCATGCGGACTTGTAGGAACAATTTAAAAGTTGTGCTTTTTTTTTTCTCTCTGTCTTTTCTTCTGCTTCTTCTTTTTTGCTTGCTCTGTTTGTGTGTTGTCTTTGTGTATTCTTCTTGTGTTTTTTTTTTCGTAGTGTAAATATTGGAATTTGGAGGACTGACATTATACCGGGAGGGGGGTGTTTTTTCTTTTCTGTTCTGTTTTGGCTTGTGGGCTTGTTGGCGCGGTTTTATTTACGATAACTACTACTCTGTGGGCGGGGGTTTACTATACGTATGTACTACAATGACAATGGGGGCGGGGCGGGGTGGGGTGGAGGTGGGGATTGGGTCGGTCGAATACAATGCGGTTTTTTCTTCTTCTTTTTCTCTTTTGCCCTTTTTGGTTTGTGGTGCACGGTGCCTGTGTGCTTTGTAGGAGGGATTTCCCTCAAGTGTGGGGAGGTGGGGGGGGGGAGGGGGGGAAGGGTGTCTGGGCCATGGAGTGCTGGTAAGTGGTGTGAAGACTATCTCTCACTTCTGGTAGATTTGATTGATTGATTACTTTATTAATTGTATGTAATCACTTGTGGTAGCATTTAACTACGGTCGAATCTCTCTATAAGGGTACCTCCTATAAGAATAATCGCCCTATATATAAGGGTACGACTTCTTGGTCCTTAAGATTGGGTCTTTTAAATACTAAATGACGCTTGTTATATATATATATAAAAGGTAAACGCCCTATAAGGGTACCAAAATCCAGTCCCGAGCGTACCCTTATAGGGAGATTCGACTGTATAGCTATCCCATCAACCGTAGCAACCGAGTTAAGGACCCAATTGGGTTCCACTTGAAATAAAGTTACCCTTCTCAAATTCACAGCAACACCAGCTCCGTGAGTACTATATTAAGAGCTGTTATTGGGATCGCTTAATAATCTTTCCCGCTTCTTTCTTATCAGTAAACAGGGCTGAATTATATCGTTTTTGTGTTTTTGTCGAGGTTGGAGTTGCAAAGTACCCAATTGGAACCTCAGGCCTCTACGGTTCATGGGATAGCACTGGGGGAGGGGGGAGGGGGAGATGACGAGTGTAAGTACATAAGTATCTCGATCGATGGTACCTGATTGATTCCAATTCTGTAAAAAAAAAAAGGGGGGGGGGGGGGGGGGGTCATGGTTGTTTTGGTCACCAGTAATGTTCTCCTTAACTTGCTCGATAGCCAAAAAAAAAAAAGAAAAAGAAAAAGAAAAAGAAACAGAAAAAAGAAAAAAGGGATTTTTTTTAATCTGACCGCCTCTAGAGACTCGTTGCTCAGGTATTGTATTGTCTCGATGTGTTGATATCGGGCCGCCGTTGCAATTAGGTATCGGAAATGATCACAAACACATGTTTTCCGAACCACCACCCCCCGTCGTGCCCTCGTACGTCCGTCACTGGAAATCAATCTGCAATTAATCGACCTGCTAAGACCTCCCGATTAACCACCACCACCACCACCCCAAGCCAATCCAGACGGCGAGATCACTCAGTCTCGGCGCAACAGTACCACCGTACCGGCCCTGAGCCCTATAGCTACCGGCGGCCAAAACAGCAAAAAGTCTGGGCGAGGAAACAGGTGTTTTTGTTTATAAGCTCGACAAACGTGCCCTCTCTTTTTTTGGACCCAGGGGGGGAACCTTCACCCCCCCCTCTCCCCTCCGTTACCCCCCTTCTCCACCTTTGTGGAGAAGGGGGAGACCTCTCCCCACCCCCTACTCTCCCCATTAATTTGGGGAGAGTAGGGCATTCTTTCCGTTCGCCTGCCTCCCTTCCCTCCAATTCGGGGGAAGACAGGCGTACGGAGAGAATACCCTACTCTCCCTAAATTAATGGGGAGAGTAGGGGGTGGGAAGAGGTCTCCCCCTTCTCCACAAAGGTGGACGGGGGGGGGGGAGGCGCAACGTGCCCTCTCTCTCCCCTTCGCGGGAGGGAGGGGGCTGAGTTGCGTTAGGTCGTTTTGTTGCCCTCTCTCTCCCCTTCGCGGGAGGGAGGGGGCTGAGTTGCGTTAGGTTGTTTTGTTGCCCTCTCTCTCCCCTGTGCGGGAGGGAGGGGGCTTTTTTGCGTTGGGTTGTTCTGCCCTCTTCTTCCCCTTCACGGGGAGGGAGGGAGCTTTTTTGCGGCGGGTCGGTTTGTCCCTGTTGCGTCCTGGGTGATACCGAGGGCGCAAAAGGGGTAGAACGCTTAGCTTGTGGGCTTCTGGGGGGGTTATTGGGGCAAGCATTGGATGGTCTCTCGCTTTCTGATATCGGAATTCGGGGTGGAGGGTGAAGTACGGCTTAGTGTTATGGGTATCTATGATGAGGATATAAGGTGCTTCCTCTGCCCCCCAAAATTAGAGATGATGCGGAGGTGATAAGCTTTTTGTCCTCCGCCTTCTGATTCTCAATAAGGGAGTAAAGAGATCACTTACGGGGCTCGGATGGCTGGCGTCGAGAGCGAGTGGAATCATGGGGAAACGGGATCGAGGTGAACTTGAGTCACAAGTGATCACTCGATACATAGATTAGCTCTAAGGCACATGTGCACTAAACATGTATAGTTGGCCTTGCAAAGGTGCATAAAGATGCAGAAAAGGGTATTTATAGACTCTCCATTCGTTCTGCACTTTTTTTAATTCTGAGATGTAGAGGGTGGGTGCAAGGTTAGATGATGAATACATGTAGTCTACCACTTGCAAGACGTAGAGGAACTCCTAATGCCTATCACCAAGAGCTTCGCAAAGGAGGGAGTATGAGATTAATTGGCCCAAAGGCCTTATATGATTTAATATGAAATCGAGATGGGTCCATAGAACGAATACATATGGCGAGGAACGGACGCGGAGTTACACTGGGAATAATAAGATAAGCCTTATAATAGCTTAGATCGACAACTTAACAGCCCCTAGAGAAGCAAATCAATGACCTGGTGGGGAACGTATGGGGTCAAGATCGAGTAATAGGAGGGGATCTTTTTGATACGCATCGTATGTGTTGCTGGAAAAAAATTGAAAGTAGTTGGCATCCAGCTGAGCTGCGCGCTGTTACTGCTGGGAGTTGTCGTTGTCAAGTGAAGCGTGATGTGATTTGATAGGTGTCAGATGACAACATAGGTATGGTAGCGAGTGATCAGGCACAAACATAAAACAATCGAAGAAATGGTAACCCCTCCTGGGGCAGATGGAGATACGATGCGTAGATTAGGTAGAATACCGTGTAGTATGTGTGCGCGCGTATCATGTGTGCGCGTGTATCTACATACATCCTGTAAAGTGTAAGGTTTGGTGGTGGTTATAATAGTTTTTAGTTTGCGTAGTCGCTGCCCTTCCTCAAGATTCTTACATATTCTTCCCCTCCACCCCCTCATCAGTCTTCATCTCACACAACTCTAATGGTCTTTAGGAGCTTTTTCGTCCTGTCTAATCATTGGTTCGCTGAGTGATATTGCATGAAGAAGACGCGCTCGGTGTCATCGCCAAGACGTTCAGGGACCGGGGCACAGACACCTTGGCTGTCAGCGCGTTCCCTTTCTGGTCAATCCTTGTTCCTCAAATCTTGAAAGTCTCGGAGCCTCTCCACGAGCCCGCGCTTTCCGGCAGCAACCCGTACCGGAGGTCCCATTCAGCTCCCAAAAATACATTCCCTTTACATTTCCTTCCCTCCTTTCTGTTCTCAACTCTTCAAACCCCGTTCATCTAAGCTACCAGTATAATCATCGTCTATTGAACCCTCGTTATGGATAGGCAAGTCGTCTAAATAGTTTCCCTGTGTCCACGTTTCCCAAAGCATCCAAGTGCTAACTCGTAAGCTTCGTACTCCTTAGATCCACTCGAGGGCTCCGGCGCAACGCTCTCCAAAAGCTCGCCGCCCTTTCAGCAAAAGAACCATCTACAGATTCCCCAAATGCCGATCTCGAACGTCTCTCGGAAGGTTGTGTATCCCACAGTACCCGTTACGTCAATGGCGGCATCAACGGGTTTTCCAACCGACCTACAAACACCAGCGACATCCCTATGGTACCCCTTAGATCCCGCCCGATCGTACTCGGTCTCTATTAACCAAAGATATAGTCCCTCCGCGAATTTGAAGTGCTCCTCGCACTTTGCAAAGCTGCCCCACAGCTCCAATCCCTCGACGAAGCAGAGAGACTTCGTCGTCAGCTTTCACCATACCTAATAGAGTCGTACAACCAGCGTATCGCCGCTACCCCGTTTTTCCGCGAGATCAAACCGAGCCCGTGGGAATCCCTCACCTCCCACCTCACCTCAGCTCTCCTCTCACTGGGTTTCAAGTTTCCAAGCTTAAGACCTGAGGTGCTGGAGACGATTAATGTCTATCTTTCAAACGCGGTTGACCACTCCCTGTGCGAGCTCGATGAAGAGGAAATGCTCGTGTTTGCTCCCCCGGTACTTTCATTTCTCGGGTTCCTAGATGGGACCGCCAAGAACATCAATTTCTGGTGGTCTGCAGACCCAGAGCACTCCTCAGCACCTTTCGTAAATCAGGTTCGCAGGGTGCTGAATGACGACTACCTCAAGAACGTGGAGATCGTGTTTTCCAACATCCGCGCCTCACAGGAGGAGGAGGTTCGGATCTGGAAGACATGCGTAGAAAACTATGACTCGTCTAATCGCCCTATCGGTGCAATGTTGCTTCAGCACGGATTCACGAAATTTCTTGCTGCCTCTACGGCCCTTTTGGTCGTTGATACACCCGTGCCTCAGCAGCTCGGAATCCTCGACGCTATGATGTCCGAGCGAGGAGTTCCCCAAGCTAACGCAGATAAATCGTGTGCTGTGGAACCACTCGCCGAACTCGCGGTCGAGGGAGTCCAGCTGCTTGAGAACGGGGTGGAGTATGGGACAGAGGCGTGGCAGCAAAGTTTGGGATACAGTGTTAAGGCTCAGGCATTGACTGCCTACGCTTGCTGTGCATTCCTGTCTGGAGAAATGGTGGATGATGATCTTCTTAACAGCTGGCTCTCCACCATCATTACAGATCCAGTGCAGATGGG